ATGAACATCCTCCTCAGCAAAGGAAACCTCAAGGCAGTAGAGCTTCGAGTTTTAAATGTTTTTTTTCTTTGTAAAGATTTTATATATTTGAAAGAGCCCAAGCAGGGTGAGGGGCAGAGGGAGAAGCAGGGTTTCCACCGAGCAGGGAGCTCGATCCCAGGACTCTGGGATCATGACCTGAGCCGAAGGCAGATGCTTAACCAACGGAGCCACCCAGGTGCCCCTTAAATTTTTTTTTTTTTTAAGATCTTATTTTGAGAGAGAGCATGCGAACACATGCACAAGTGGGGGGAGGGGCAGAGGGGGAGAGAATCTCAAGCAGACGCCACGCTGAACATGGAGCTTGATGCAGGGCTCGATCTCATGACCCTAAGATCATGACTTGAGCTGAAATCAAGAGTTGGATGCTTAACTGACTGAGCCACCCAGGTGCCCCTAAAATGGGGTTTTAAAATTTATATAAAACAGTGGAATTAGGGCTCATGATAACGAAGTTTCTCTCTTCCAAGTCATTCTTTAATCTCTTTCTAACACCTGCAGCTATTGCATTAATGACTACAGCAGTGATATCTACCTGTGACCATGGTATTGTAGCCAAGATCAAGAGAGTAATCATGGAGAGAGACACTTATCCTCGGAAGTGGGGTTTAGGTCCAAAGGTAAGTGGGACCAGGTGTGTGCTCTGCTGTGCGTTAACTCTTCATTTTTGTGTTGTTGAATCTTGTTGGGTGGCTCTCAGCTATGTCCCTACCACCACAACCTTGCTCTGGGGAGTGATGGTGAGTAGAAATGGGACCCTCTCAGACCTTAGAGATTTTAGTCTAATGGGGAGAAGCAGATGGGCGTCACTCATATTGCACAACAAAAGCCAAGTTGAAGGGTTATGAAAGAGTACAGAGAGGTGCCTGGCATCTCGGGAGTCCAAAATGAGGGGTTTGACTTGTTTGGGGGGGCGGTCTGGGTGAGGGATCTTCGTTGGAGCCAGGCCAGCGTAAAGGACACAGTGTTACGTATTGATGAAGTGAAGAAAGGAAGGGAGAGTCTGGGGAAGCTGGAATCGCATGTGCTGCAAAGGCCCTGTGGTGGAAGAATGGGGTGGGTGGGGGTGCCACAAAATGACATTTTGGAGGTTCTCACTGATAAAGAAGGCTTGATGACTTTTGACAAGTCCCATGTTTGCTCCTGTTGGAGAGTGTGAGTTCTGAGTGCTTTGCAGAGAAGTGTGAGGCCCAGCTGAGAACACACAAGGGAAGAGCCTTACTTGAGCCACCATAATACCTGCTTCATGTGTCACACTGTTCTGATGTTGAAATCCTGACGATCCACCAGGCAAGTCAAAAGAGGCTGATGATCAAGCAGGGTCTTCTGGATAAGCACGGCAAGCCCACAGACAGCACGCCTGCTACGTGGATGCAGGAGTATGTGGATTACAGGTGAGGGCAGGGTGTTTCAGAGCCCCAGGCAGGCAGAGGCGGCACGCTTGCTGCCTGGATGCAGGAGTGCATCCACCACAGGTGAGGAGGGGAGGCTGTAGAGCTCAGAGGGGTAGATGCAGCATGGTGGCTGCCTACATGAGCCAGGGCAGGGGGTCATGGAGCCTGGGTATGGGGAGGAGGGCAGATTTAGTTTTGGGGAGAGCTGCTAACACATGGGACTCTAGGAACCTGCGTGGTGCTCACGAGACCTTGGGGGCTGTAGGGACTACCCCTTGACTCCTCAGGCCTGCTCAGCAGACAGTTATCCCTTTCTAGTCTGGCTCGTGGGACTCTAGAGGGAGTCAGTCTGCAACAGTAAGTGGTGAGTTCTTCTGTCTGTCGTCAGTATTTTGATGGTGGCTTTAGACTTGCCAGATATCACTGGTTGAGGATGCAGCAGTGCCTCCCTGGAAAGCCGTTTAGTGCCTCTCACCTATTGCTATCTGTTTTTCAGCGACTCTGCAAAAAGAGAGGTGGGGGCCAAAGCAGTAAAAGACCCGCAGGAAGTTACCGAAGTCGTAAAAGCCCCAAAAGTAGTTGCCGAAGTGGTAAAAGCCCCAAAGGTGAGTGACATGCTGTGAGCAGTTGGGAGTGTGCTTTGGGAGATGGTTGCGGTCTAGGCACAGGTCGTGGCTCAGTACGGGAAGGCTTCTGCCCGTGGGGGCGTGATGCTGTGTAGATAATGTCGTGCCATACCTCGGGGTACTTGTTTGGATGGTCTGGGCTCCAATTCACATTCCCTGTTGTGTCTGCTGGGAGGATTGTGGGCTCAAATCAGGGGCCTCGGCTTCCACCGCGTTGAGGCGACGGCACTGGGTCACAGTGGAGGTGTGTGTGACTCTGGCCCCGGGGCAGATGAGCCGTACAAAAGTCAGCGGGGAGCAGAATCACCAGAGGCTGACAACCTGTAGATCGCATTAGCTCTGCGTTTGAAAAGTTCCAGGAAAGTATGTGGTAGCACCTCAGCTTGTCAGGCTTGGGGGGACCACTGGCATTAGAGCACAGAATGGGTGCACTGAGTGACCTGGGAAGAGCTTCTGGCGTGCATGGGGCCTGTCACAACTCCTGGGTTGCCCGCCTTCTTTGAAGACATGCAGTCCACCTTGTCACAGTCCCCGAGCCCGGCACTGGTGCTTTGGTGCTCCTGCTGTGCGCATGGCTTCCTGGCCTTTGGGGATGAAACCGTGTTTGGATTCTCTGTAAATTAAGGCTCTGTTGGGGTTTGTCATTAGAAAACTTACTCTTGGATTTAGTCAGAACTTTTCTGGTGATTCCCCACTTTCTTACCGTTTCTCATCCATTTTTGCTCAAGGTCTAACATTTGATCGCTTGTCTCCACCTTAGCGGAAGCGAGAGAGTGAAAGTGACGAGGCCTCCCCGCAGCTGGTCAAGAAGGAGAAGAAGAAGAAGAAGGACAGAAAGGCCAAAGCCGCGCTAGAGAGCGGGGGCGATCCGGGCGATGGGGTAGGTTCTCGAAGGGGGGCAGCAGCGTTTTCCCGTAACTGCTCGCAGTTAGAATGCTGTTGATGGTGAGGGGGAAATCTGAGTGGTCCTGTCTGTAAAAGTAGACCGCTGAGGCATCACTGAAAAGCTCAGGGCTTGTGTTCTGTGCAAAATTTATTCAATCCAGAATATCCTCACCGATCCTGAAGAGGCTTATTGGGCTCTTGGAACTTCCCTCATTTGGTTGTTAACAGATGCAGTGAGGCTTTCTCTTTCTCCCAGGACAGTGACAGTACCAAGAAGAAGAAGAAGAAGAAGAAAATAAAAGTGGAAGTGGTTTCTGAGTAGTGGACACCACTTTGAGCACTGTGTCCAGGTGGGAGGAGAAATTAAAGCCTTATTGAGAAAACAGAATTCCTTTTGTTCTTGAGGGAATGGAACATAGGTCCCAGAAAGGGTGGAGAGTTCCGGCACATTTTAGCTGCTACAGGAGAACTCAGTGACGTTCCCTGGTGTGGTCATCCCATCCTGTCCTGTTTTAAGGATATGGGTGAAGGAGGCAGGTTTGATGGCACCCACTTCTCTGCTTGGGAGAGTTGGGAGTTCTCTCCTTCAGACCCAGCACAGCCCAGGAGCCATCTGCGGCTGGTGCCCGACGGCTGTTCTAACAGCATAGCGTGCTCCTGGTTTGCACCACCCCCCAACCCATTTTAAAAGTTTCTAAACATTGCTCAGTGAAATGCTGTAGATCAAGTAAAAGAAGAGAACTGAACCACATTGTTCACTGGGGGGATAAATCTTATCTCCCATGTCCTGTGAGGACAGTGGTCTGTTCTGGCCACATGCAGGCCATCTTGTCACCTATATCCACTCCGTCTTTGGCTTCAGCGGTCCTTTCTGTACTCCCTTCATAGCCTGTGTGTACAGCCTGATGCACCTGAATCCATCTGCCTACTTGTGTTTGTGACAGAAGCTAAAATACTGTTCCATATTCTCTATTAATTCTCCCTTACTTTCAAAGGATGCACTCACTCACTGCTGGGAGAAGGTTGTACTTTTTACTTAATTAAAGTTTACTTGTTTTTAAGTATTTCTGTTGGGTTTTCTAATTGTTGGGGATGTCAAACGAGTAGAACAAAAGATAGAAACTATTTTAATTAAAAATTTAGGAAACTTTATGTCCTGTTTGGAATTTGATGCTTTTCCTTCGGTTATTTTCTCTGGTTCTGTGTCTTGCAACATTCATCTTGGGGCCTATTATCTGGCATGGGACCAAATACTCTAGAATCTACATTCAGGGCATTGACTAGATAAAAAGGGGAATCATCACAAATCCAGTGATCTCCCCAAACAGTCGAGGGGAGGAAGGTAGAAGTATTTACGTAGTGGGTCTGGCAGGAGGTACCAGTGTGTATGGGGAGGGGTTCTGAGCATAGGCCTGAGGCTGGGTTTCCCTCCATTGGAAGGGTCAGAATGCAAGCCTCCGGCAGATCAAAGCAGGAAGCTGCATGTGTGCACCTCATGGGTTCTCGTCCAGGATTAGAGCATCCTGGGTGCATGTCTATGTGGGCACCAGCCTCAGAAGACTTGGGGTGGGGGACTTTTGAGGGCATGGGTGTTTATAATCCCAGCAGCTAGCTGCTGTGTGAGCAATGGAGTGGAGTAATTCCCTTTGGATACAGATTAATTTGGGCAGCCAGTCACGAGGTGCTCTGGAAACCAGGTCTTGAGAATGAAGAGAAAGCTGAAAGGAATGGCTGCCAGGAGGAAAATGGGGGAGATGGAAGCACTCTCCCCATGGAGTAGAAATGGGATGATCACACCTTTGCTCCCAAACTTGCTTTATAGGTTACATGTCTGTGTGTGTGTTCAGGTCCACACGTAACGTACCAGATCGCGCCCTGCCCAGCACACACCCCCCTCATGGGAGGGTGGGTTATATCTTGACCTCTGTGTGCTTGAGGGAGACTTCTGAACCCAGGAGAGGCAACTGGTATTCACGCTGTCCTAAGGGGTTGACAGGTGCTGCCATTTCCCTCTCCAGAGACTCGTGCAGGTGGAAACCCAGAGAGTTACAAGGTATTGGCATTTTAACACAGCAACGTTTTTATTGCTTTTGAGGGTGTCCCTAGAGCAGACATCATTCTATTGCACAGCCGCTTCATTTTGGCATTTTAGAAAGTTGAGGTTACAGATGCTTCAAAGACACATGAGATGCCCAGTGTAAAGGTGAAGGAGCACAGGCTTTAAAGAACAAGGGCCATTGCCTTTTCCTCCCCGTGTGCACCATCTTTGATTAGCAGTTGCATTTTGATAGTACTTTGGGCCTCAGAGTTCCAGAGATCCTTCTGAAACCCTGATCAATGGGGCTCCATTGATCAGGAAAATCGGAGCCCAGCCAAGGGACTTGAACAAGACTGACACCCACTGGCCTAATTAGGATAGATGCAGAGCACTGGAAGCTGACATACTGGGTGGAGTGTCCCTGTTTGTGTTAAAGCAAGGAGAATGAAATTCAAACTGCTAGAGAAGGGCATATCTGCAAGCTTAGTAAACCCAGGAGACAGGCACCCACTGTGGAGAACTGCATGCCTGGTCAAAGGCTTCTTGCAGTTTCTTAAGGGTTTCGTCAACGCCATTATTGACCAGCGAGAGGTCAAAGTAGTGTGCGTACTGGCTGCGGATGGCTTCGGAGTCCTTTTGCAGCTGCTGCAGGGCTTCCGTCTGCAAAGAAAAGAGAAGCGTGGATGAAGCAGGCCCCACAGCACGGCAGCCCAAGAGGTCAGTGATGGGTTTTTAACTGGACCCTGATTGTGGTGACCACTGCCTGGCTCAGAGTCACCTGCTTGAAGACTCCAGCCCTGAAGACCTTCCTTGAGAATGTTTAATAGAGTAGGGTATAGAGACACTCGGAGCACTGCGATTCTAGAGGATCTCAAACTAACCCTGATGATAAATCATCAGAGCTCAGAAGACCAATAGCTCCGTCGCTGTGGCATGGATGTGAGCAGCATCTCCCCACTGCCGCAACCACCAGCACCACCACAGCTGCAATCCTGGGACAGGTATAAGGGTGAGTTACAACCCCAGGCCTCTTTCTAGAATCCCAAACAAGTGGCTATGAAGACTGGTAACTCCATAAAAGTAAAGATGTTTGCACAGCAATGAGTGCCAAAAGACATGCCAAACTGGGAAAAACATGTTTAAAACTGATGTCACAAAGGGCTAATTACCCGAATACAGAGTTCCTAGAAAGCAGTAAGAAAAAGGCCAATAACCCAAGAAAAATAAGCTAAGGACAGGACCAGGCAGTTTGCTGAAAAGATAGAAATAGCCCTCAATAGTCTGATAAGACACCCAACCACTTAACAGAGATAAAAGTACAGCGAGACTACATTTTTCTAGTAGATTGGTCAACAAATGAAACTTTGGATAACATGCTCCTGGCCCAGGGAAACAAGCAATCTCCCAGGGAATTTTCCATTCCCATTGCAAGCATCCTTGGACCTGGCAATCCTGCCTGGAGCTTCTCCTATAGATCGAGCTGCACTTGTGTGAAATACCACACGCACAGGCCACAGAGTGCAGTAGTGTCTGGCGGTCGGAAGGAAACAATCCTGCCAGTGTGCATAACGGAGGCCGCGCAGCCACGCCGACACAGCAACTTCTCGCTTGTGTTTGGTGAGAGCAGGTGCAGGAACTCGGGTGGTGAGCAGGGAGCGGCTTTTCAGTGTATCCCTGGTCCCCTAGCTCTTCCCCTCTCCCCACAGCCACACCACACCCCTGGGCGGTGGGTGGTCCAATGCTGCCTCTGTCCTTCCCACTTGAGCCCACGTCGCACCAGTGTCAGGATCTGCCAAATTGCCCATCTCTGCCGCTGGACCCCAAGCACTTCTGGAACTATGACTATCTCTGATTTATTCTGTCCCCGTTACCTAGCATGGGTGCTGGCCTACCTAGTGGTTTAATACATGTCTGCTGAGTAAATCAAATGTGCCCATGTCCTTTGGCTTCGTGGCCTTGCAGGAAGAAGGATAGCAGTAGCCAGGAGGCTCATGGGAGATATGGTCACAAGCTGACCTCTGGACTGATGTCCCAGTCCGGGCAAACCTGGAGAATGAACCTCCACCCACCCTGCGTAACCCTGTCCTTCCCACCTGAGCGCCCTGGTCAGTAGGTGCGATGAACACGATGAATGGTGACAGTTCTGCCGTGCGGACAATCTTCAGGGTCTAGAGAAAGAGGAAGGGGAGGAAGGAAGAAAAGGACCAGAGTCAGCTATCCTGATGGCTTCCTTCTAGTACATGTCTTTGAGCATCACCAAGCCCAATCATTTCCATCACTTCTGGTACTATTGTGGTTTTAGGTGACCCCAGTGAAACTACGTGAACCAAACCTCATCCATGCCTGCCTTGTCAGGCCTACCCACCTGGGGCTCAATGTCAAGGATGGCAATCTTGTCCTGCTCATGAATCTGGTGCACGGTTTCAAATTTGGTGCCAAACATATTGCCCTGGTAGCTGCCAAACTCCAGGAATTCATTGGCAGAGATGTTCCTGGTCATCTCTTCGGTGGAGATGAAGTGGTACTCCTTCCCGTCTTCCTCACTCTTCTTGGGTGGCCGTGTTGTATCTGCACAAGAACCCAAATCCCTGACGAAACTGGGGGTCCTCACCATCTCCTAGGGGCTCGGCCCATGGTATCTGTACATAAATGCCAGCTGCCTTTGGTGCAGAGAGTTTAATAGGGGGGGTTTCTCCCACAGGATCCCGAAAGGCTGACAGTAGATGATGCAGAGCAGGAAATGCCCTGTCCATCCAGAATGTGTTTCACTTTCAAGAGGCAAAGGCCAATGTAGAAAATTCCTATCCCTTTCCCTGTATGAAGTTACATCTCTTAACCCCAGGAATTAGAGCTCAGAATTGGAGAAATGACAGCTGACTATATATATATTTTAAAGATTTGATTTGTTAGAGCACAAGCAGGGGGAGCGGCAGGCAGAGGGAGAGGGAGAAGCAGGCTCCCCTATGATCAAGGAACCTGACAGAGCTCCATCCCAGGACCCTGGGATCATGATCCGAGCCAAAGGCAGATGCCCAACTGACTGAGCCACCCAGGCGCCCCTGATTATATTTTTTAAACAGATCTATGGGGTTTGGATTTCTTGAAAGCATATGTAAAATTTCCTTTTTATAGCTTAGAAAGAAGAGTACTCTGGTTTGGTTTAAACTCATTTTGTTAAATGTTGGGATATTCTTAAGTCACACCATTTACTATTATTCATATAAACTGTCCTCTAAAACGTGCTCCAATAAATTAAATAAATAAATAAATAAATAACATGCTCCAGAAATCACAGCTTGAAACCTAACCCCTCACACTCCTCCCCAGTGGACCTCTCCTGCGTCCCATGTTTATTGAGCCCCCCCCCATGCCCTTGTCTTGTGCATTCTCTGCTTGCCTGTCAATCCACAACTGCACATGCCTCTCTCTTCCCATCTTGTGAAACAACTCTTCTTCAGTGGCTATTTCTACTTCTGAATTCCCCACTCATTCCTCAACCCAGGGCCATCTGCTTTCTGCCCCTAGTTAGGTGTCACTTATCCCTAAAGGCAAAATGTAGAGGCAAGGAGTAAAAAAATACTAATACCAGATTCAGAATCCAGTTTTCTACTTTGATAAGCAGGATCTCGTCCTGGGAATATACACAATCATACTATGCAGATTCACTTCTGGAAACGCAGTCATCTGATTCCCTACCTGGCCACTGGCCTGATCGTTCTATTGAGAAGAATCCTACTGCTGAGATTGTGCCTTTCCTGAGCACTGCTTTGATTCAGAAGACTTTCAGGAAAATTAGAGGCAGCCTAGACGTCAAGCAATAGTGGATAGCTAAGGAAATTACAGTATAGCCACTCAACGGACTGGGATTTAGGCACATGAGAAAATATTTATAATATAAAGTAAGATGAAAAAAGTAATAATTTTTTAAAGATTTTATTTGTAAGTAACATCTCCACCCAACGTAGGGCTTGAACCCCCAACCCAGAGATCAAGAGTTGTACGCTCCACCAACTGAGCCAGCCAGGCGCCCCAGTCATACATGTTTTCAATAATATTACTTGCTTGCTTATTTAAAGCAGGATAAAAGTATTTTCAACTGCTTCTGTTATGCAGGCAAACAGCACAGAAAAGAATAGCCAACATAGTTAGCTGGAGTGGTTATATGTACACATTTGCATCTTTCCAAATTGTGTTTTGTTTTTATAATCAAACATTTCAAATAAAGTCACACATAGAAAAGACCACTTTGGTATCTCAGAATGGTGCTCCCACCTGTCCTCCAAGGACCGCAGAGGTACTTACATGGGGCAGGGTATGCAAACTTGTCCGGGTTCTGGCTGAGTAGGGCATTCTTAATGTGGCTGCGACCCACTCCACTGGCTCCTGGGGAGGGAGAAAAGACAGAAACCAGGTTGCTATTATTCTCATGAAGGCTTCCTTTTCTTTCCCCAAAGTCAAAGGTCGGGATAGGTTTAGAAATGGGACGCGGGTGAGTGAGTGAACAGGTGTGGCTTCCAGACTGGGGTCAGGGAGTGGACAAGGCCCCCATTGAGAGACAAGGCTCTACAGGCTAAGGGTCAGGACTCAGAACATAACTGTTGTTTCCAAAGAGGAGCCAGCTAACACATGGGTTTTCTATTTCTTTTCTAAAGATACTTGCTTTACTGAGCTCTCCAAAATTAATGGAACTGATTTATTTTTTTTAATATATATTTTTTAAGATTTTATTTATTTGACAGAGAGAAAGACACAGCGAGAGAGGGAACACAAGCAGGGGGAGTGGGAGAGGGAGAAGCAGACTCCCCACTGAGCAGGGAGCCCGATGTGGGGGCTCGATCCCAGGACCCCAGGATCATGACCGGAGCAGAAGGCAGATGCTTAACCGACTAAGTCACCGAGGTGTCCCCCCCCCTTTTTTTATCATTTTTTTAAAGATTTTATGGAACTGATTTTTTTTTAAAGATTTTATTTATTTGACAGAGAAAGAGAGAGCACAAGCAGGGGGAGTGGCAGAGGGAGAGAAAGAAGCAGGCTTCCCGCGGAGCAAGGAGCCCGATGCGGGGCTCGATCCCAGGACCCTGGGATCATGACCTCAGCCTAAGGCAGATGCTTCACCCACTGAGCCACCCAGGCGTTCCAGTGGAACTGAATTTAAAGCAGTGTTTTTACTGGAAATTCCTCTGGAACCCTAATAATTTCCTCTAAGCAACTGTTTTAACTCTAAAGACAGGGTGGTGAGCTGCCCACCTAAAATAATTAGTTGCTGAAAAACTTGTAAGGTTTAGTTGCATTTGTGAGGCAAATCCAGATGGAACACCTGTAAGGATTCAGAGAACCCAAGAGACTGTCCTCACTGCCTTTTTTTTTTTTTTTTTCCTGAGGCAGGGAGGGAGAAGGGGGCATCATATGCTGCGGGCATGACCGTAAGGAGGGAGCTGTACTCTAACTAGCAAAGCAACATGGGGAGGGGGGCGGGCACCAAGAAGTTACCGATCAGCACCAGGGTCTTCCTCTTGAATGCAGGGAGCCGAACAACTTCCTCATAGGAAACAACATCCAACTGGTCAAAAACTAGGGACAAAGAAAACCAAGCCATGTTCATTTCCACAGCTGGGAAGAACGTGGTCCAGGTGGTGAGGTGGGAAAGAGCCGAAAGTCTGTCAGCCTGGCGTGAAGGCGGCTGAGGCTGGGGAGAAAGGACTTGGGCCTGGAGTCACTGAAGTGACGTGACTGTATTTTGGTTTTAGAAGACGAACGCTGGTAGACGATGGGCTACAGGGGCTGGGATGGAAAAGCAGTGAGACCCCTAACCTTACCAGCACTGTACCAGCTGGGACACTGTCAGGCACAACCAGTCGCCAGTGACAGAATGATGGACAGGGTGTCCAGAAGTACACCACTTCTGGGCCATGGATGCCTTTCCTTTGGGTCGATTTCCTGCTTTTCCCAGCCTCCTCCATCTGAACTCAACATGACTGTCAGTGAATTCCTTGGACTCTTAGTATTTTTTCTGATTTTCTGGACCCCATATTCTCCTTTTTCCTCTCTCTTCTCCATAGTTTCAGTAACATCACGCTGCCCTGCACTCCAGCCCCCTCCTAGGGAGGGTGAGCTGAATGGGAGATTATTCAACTGTTACCTACAATCTGCTGAATCCATTTATAATTTTAGTATATTATATTACCTACCACAGTAGGTAAAAAACAAAACCAAAATTAGTTCTCAGGAAAACATGCTGTTTTCTGGGGTTGCTCAGACCATGAGCTGGTCATGCTGATGGCTGTTCGGTTGGTTACCTGAGGAGTGAGCATAATGAGCGGGTGTGAGCAGACCACTAGCTTTCCTTCACAGGTACTGGAAAGATGAATGTTGTAATAAAAGAAAACCAGAAGAAATGGCACACTTCCTGTGTGACGTATGGTCCACCATGCACGACACCATCTCCCTTTAGCTGCCAGGAGCCGGCAGAGAGGAAGCCCAGGAAGCTTACTTGAGCTGTGCTTGGCCAGGTACTTGTCTTTGTATTTCTTCTTCTTCCCAAACGGACTGCAGCTGGGGGCTTCACTTGGAGCAGACTGAGCCACACTAGCCACTCGCCTGGCAGGAAAAGACCCAGAATGTCAGGGGAACCTCAGCGTAAAAGCCCCTAGGGTCACCCTTCCCCTTCTACACCAAACCTCCAGACCAGGGACACATGGCTGGTTCAGTCGGTAGAGCCTGCGACTCTTGATCTCAGGGCTGTAAGTTCAAGCCCCACGTTAGGTGTAGAGATCACTTAATAATAAAATGTTGAAGAAAAAAAAAAGACAACTTCCAGACCAATCTCCTAAAAACTTTGTGCTGTCCTTGACCCTCTCAGTCCTCACTCTCTGAGGCCCGTCCTTACTTTTCTCAGCCTGCCCCTCTCTGCCTCCCTACTTCCCCCATCTGTGTGTGTGTGTGTGTGTGTGTGTCTCTCTCTCAGCCTCTGTGTGGATCTCTCATTCTCTCTCCAATCTCTGTGTTTCTCTCACATTCCCCCCTCATTCTCTTGCTCTGTGTGTCTCTGCCAGGACCCCCTCAGCTGCCCTCTCTCCCTCCTGCTCTCCCACCCCCACCCCCTTCTCTGTGAGCTCTGGGTCTGTGATGAGCAGGGTTTAGACTGGTGTGGAGGAGCCAACGGGCACACAAAGAAACAAGTGGAAGGAGCCCAGCTGCACTGAAGGGAGGATGTGATGGCGGGGGGGGGGTGCCACTTCCGCCTGCACACATTTCCAATGCCAGGTATTTGGATGCCCACATAAGAACTCTCCAGAAAGGCAAGGGAAGCGACTGTGCCCTGAGAAGCCATCACTGTGTTAGTTTGGATGGCACCCACCTCTCTGAGCCTCCTGTTTGCAGAGCCACTGTGGGAGCTGCAGACAATGTCTACGGAGTGCCTAACAGGCCGCGTGGAGCGCCATGAATTGTCTGCTGCCTTCACACACGTAAACCTCAGCAGTCTCCACACACAGCCCACACTCTGGTTCACTGGTTTTTGAACCTTTATGGCCCTACTTCATTATAGGAAATATACTGTACAATGCAGCCATGTATTCTGCACAGATCGATCTATAAATAAAACATACAAACACACCACATATACAACTAAAACTGCAGCTTCATAAAATACCTTCTCTTAGATACATGAAATATATTCCAATACTTCTACCTGATGTCATTGTTCAAAAGAAATCCTTGTTGCAACCCACTACACTGATTGCACACCTCATTAAGTTGCAGCCCCCCGTTTGAATACCGCCGTGCTACTGGGTCTTCCTCAGCCATCTGCCCCCAATCCCGCGATGTTCTTCACAGCGTGTTACCTGGGTCTTTCACCATTTTCATGCAGGGTTGGCGCTATATTTCATTTGCTGCTCTAATTCCAAATTTGTTTTAAGATTTTATTTTAAGTCATCTCTACCCCCAACGTGGGGCTCGAACTCACAACCCTGAGACCAAGAGTCACGTGCTCTACTGACTGAGCCGGCCAGATTTGTTTGTCCCTCATTTGTTCCTCTAATTGTAAGAGTTTATTTCTATATGGCACTTCCTGTGGTTTGGTGCCACGTTTATAATTCCCACTGTGTCATCCCCAGAGATGAGGTCAACCAGAATTCAGGCTTAAATCTAAAAGGACCCCCTCCCTTGAGGCTGTACAGTGTCTTTACACTGGACTTATTTTGCAGGGGGAGGTCCGGCACACCTAGGGCCAGGTACTGTAACCCAGCACTAAGTGAGCAATCCGACTCAGGGGCAGGATTTATTTTTTCTATGTGCTGGGATTTTTGCATCAAGGACACATATTTCACATTTGGCTGTTTTCTGCGGGTCTCAGAAGCATTAGCCTGGGAGGCAGGAGACCAGGGAGGGCTCCGGTCCCCGTGCTGTCCCTTGCTCTGTAACCAAAGGGAAAGCATTTGAGGAAACAGAGGCCCACAGACAAATGAAGAACTCTTCACTCGGGCTCCTTTACCTGTAATGGCTTCCGAGCCTAGCCCATTGGCTTATTGTTGCCCCCTCAGCCATGATGCCACGTAAGGCTGGAGGTTGGCTAGGTCGAGGAACAGAAACTACACATGAGGCGACAGGTTTTTGAAGCTAAGCAATCGTGTGTGTGGCAAGCATGGGTCCCTCGCATTGGCAAGTTTCACCCATACAAAAGTGGCTCACCATTCCTGCAGCTCAGGAGAAGGGATCAAGCCTGCTGACTCCTTGGAGGAACCTTCCACCCGCCCCTGCCACCAGTTACTATCATCTTTGTTGATTATCTTGATGATGTCCCCAGTAACAAACTTCAGTCCCGCCTCCTTGCAAGGGATCAGATGGTCCTTTTTGGGATCGTAGTCAAACTGTGCTCTCATGAACATCTGAAAAATAAGGCAAAGGGAACTGAGAGATGCCGACACCAGCACATTCAGGTTGAAAGTTCTGCTGTAAGTAGTAAATAGGCTCAGGATTGAGTGAACAGCAGGGAGAAGTGACTGAAACTGGGGCTGGACCTGATCCCTCCAACATGTTAGTGGTTACTAGGGCTGACTGTCTGTCTGTCTTGGAGAACAAAGGAGCTACTATCGGAAAGGCATGTTTCCGTGGGAAGTCTTTTCATGGTATGTTAAATCAACAATATGAATGTGCCAAAGGTCTTAAAATGTGGATACCCCTTGTCTCCACGATCCCCTTCTATGCACAAGTTGTCACTTACGATGTCTGGAAAAGTATGTTCACCACAGCATTATTTACAAGACAGAAATATTGGAATCAAGCTAATTTTCCAAGAATGAGGAATTAGTTAAGTATGGTCATCTATTGAATACACTGCCAGGCCAACTATAAAAATCAATGTGTACAAGATAGGTAGACATCCTAGAAATGTTTAAAAGGTTCTTTTTTTTTAAGATTTTATTTGACAGAGAGAGAGAGCGAGAGAGCGAGAGCAGGAACACAAGCAGGGGGAGTGGGAGAGGGAGAAGCAGGCTTCCCACCGAGCAGGGAGCCTGATGCGGGGCTCGATCCCAGGACCCCGGGAACATGAACTGAGCCGAAGGCAGACGCTCAGCGACTGAGCCACCCAGGCGCCCCTGTTTAAAAGGTTCTAAGAAGATATGGTGAACAACTTCACATGAATACACTTGACAAATCCCTTACAAAACACAATTTCCCAAAAGTGACACAAGAAATTGAAAATATGAGCACTCACATCTCTACAAGAAAGTACTGAAAGCCGTTACAGAACACCATCCTCCCCTGCTCCACAGGCCCCACTGGCTTTGATGGTAAATTTTTCCAAACATAATTTGAAAAACTAAGGCGAGTCTCATACAGACACAGGACAAGATGCTTATCCAGAATACATGGAGAGCTCCTACAAATCAGTAAGAAAATGCCTTGAATGGGTACTTCATAAAGGAGGGCATCCAAATGGAGAAAAACATTAAAAAAAAAAAAAAGGAGCTTAGTCTAATTAGTCATCGGAGAAATGCAAATCAAAACCACAACGGCCAAAATGAAGAAAAGGTACCGGTGAGGGTCTGGAGCCACTGGGCAACAGCACAGACATACTGAGTGAACGTATGATTCAATTTACATCCGTTTCAAAAAGGGGCCACACCTGTCTCTGATGTTAGAAGTTAGGGTTACAGTAACTGGAAACAGGTCCAGGGGTTCTTAGCCATGTTCTATCTCTGGAGCTGGGTGCTGGTTAAATGGGTAGGTTCAGTTTGTGAAAATCATTCTAGTTTTATACTTACGACTTGTGTATTTTGTAATAGATACATACACCCACATATACCCAAACTTTGATTTAAAAAGTTTGCTTAAAAAGAAAATTTTGCCACAATAACATAAATGATCTGTGCTAGAAACTTTTATATACATTCATCTGCCAAGGCCCTATCCAAACACTTTCTCTCCTGTACCGATGATGAACTGTCTGTGGACTGGGAATGGACCCATTTCTCTTTATATCACCTCCAGTTTCTAGCGAAGTGATGTGTACGAGGTAGAGTCTCAATGAATTTTGAGTAAGTGCTCTTAAGACTCTTTCTTCCTGGGCGCCTGGGTGGCTCAGTTGGTTGGGCGACTGCCTTCGGCTCAGGTCATGACCCTGGAGTCCCGGGATCGAGTCCCGCATCGGGCTCCCTGCTCAGCGGGGAGTCTGCTTCTCCCTCTGACCCTCTTCCCTCTTGTGCTCTCTGTCTCTCATTGTCTCTCTCTCAAAAAAATGAATAAAATCTTTAAAAAAAAAAGACTCTTTCTTCCCTTTGGCACTATTAATCACTGGGCTATTACTGTTTTAAAAAATATTTGCCAATTTGCAGGGCACCTGGGTGGCTCAGTCAGTTAAGCGTCTGCCTTCAGCTCAGATCATCATCCCAGGGTCCTGGGATCGAGCCCCGCATCGTGCCCCCTGCTCAGCGGGGAGTCTGCTTCTCCCTCTGCTCCTCCCTCAGCCCCTACCCCCCAACTCGTGCTCTCTCTAAAATAAAATCTTAAAAAAAATAATCACCAATTTGCTGGTGAAAAATGATACTGCACATTTTATTTTGTGTTTATTTGATGACTGGTAAAATTGGCTATCTTTTCATATGTTCGATGTCCAGTTGTATTTTTCCTCCTGTGAATTATCTCTTCATTTGCTTTGCCCATTTTCCTCTTAGAATAAAGAGATTACCCTTTCCTTTCACATTGGTTACAAACAAGCAACTCAGAAAGAAGGACTGCCTGTTTGTAATGGATGTCGATTTAGTTTAGGCAGCTACACTTGTGATATACTGAGAACTTAAAACTAAAATCATGTCATCTCAATCGAATATCAAAGAACACAACAGAGAAAATGGTGTCACATACCTGTAGTGCAGGAAGACGATTTTGCTGGTTGGGAATTACTTTTAATGAGATCATTCCTTTGGTTTCTTTCTATTAAAAAAGAAATTATAATGGATATATTATAGATGGATCTGGGGTTTCATAAAGTCTTATTTCCCCTCTCAAAGTCCCCAAAAAGTTTTTTTTTTCCCCAACACCCATCTTTACTGCACACTTTGAAATTTTGAGGACAATTCCTCCTTCAATATCAAAGTCTCATGTGCCCCATAAACCAGTGTAACAACATGGAGATGCACAAAGAATAATGAAGAAAAAGCTAATAATTTTCCCTCCTCCCCACACTCAACCCTAAAAGGTCTCCAGATGAACCTAAAGGAACCCTGGCACACATATACCCATACCTTTCTCGACACGAAAGAAAACATTTCCAAATATTTACACATATAACCATATTCATATGTATTTTTGTTTGCTTTTAACAAACATGCTATTCATTCAGCCATACTCCTCATTACTGGGCATGTCACCTGTTGCCAATTTTTTTTTCACTATCATCTGCTGCAAGAGACATCCTTTATTTTTTTTTTAAAGATTTTATTTATTTATTTGCCAAAGAGAGAGCGTGCATGAGCAGGGTGAGGGGCAGAGGGAGAATGGGACACCTGGATTATCTCTTCATTTGCTTTGCCCATTTTCCTCTTAGAATAAAGAGATTACCCTGCTCGGCTGGTTGGGCACCTGCCTTTGGCTCAGGTCATGATCCTGGGGTCCTGGGATCAGCCTGCACGGGTCTCCCTGCTCAGCAGGGAGCCTTCTGCTTCCCCTGCTTGTCTCTCTCTGTCAAATAAATAAATAAAATCTTTTTTAAGAATTACAAATAGAACTATCATAGGATCCAGCAATTCCACCTCGGGGAAATGAAGTCTTCTACCTGTTCCTCACTGATTTTCTCGCTACTTGTTCTGTTGATGATTGAGAGAGAGACTGAACTCTCGGACTGTAATATTGCGGATTTGTCTTTCTCTCCTTGCAGTTCCACCAGTTTTTGCTTCAAGTATTTTGAAGCTCTTAATAAAGGTACACGGATGTTTGGATTTTGGTTGTTTCAAAAGGCAGGGTAAATCTGGTCCCTGTTACTTCGTTTAGCCAGAAGCAGAAGTCCAGAGGGGGCTTTGTTGTTTTGTTTGTTCGTTTGTTTGTTTTTTTAAATACACTCTACAAGTTGCAACGTGGGGCTTGAACTCACTACCCCAAGATCAAGAGCTGCATGCTCTTCAGACTGAGTCAGCCAGGTACCTCCCAAGGGCTTTTTTTTTTTTTAAAGATTTTATTTTTAAGTAATCTGCACACCCAAAGCGGGGCTTGAACTCACAACCCTGAGATAAAGAGTCACATGCTCCAAGCCAGCCAGGCGCCCCACGAGGACTTTTGATTAAAGCAAATCCCAGGTCTATCGTTTAACAGCCATGTGACCATGGGCAAGTTTCAAAACTCTCCAAGGTTCAGTCTCCTTATCTCTGTCTCAAGTGAAAAGCCACATTCTGGCCAACTACCCCATGTGGGGTTTTTTCAGTTTTTTTTAAAGTAAGCTCTATGCCCAATGTGGGGCTCAAACTCACAACCCCGAGATCAAGAGTCGCACGCTCTTCTGACTGAGCCCGCAGGGCGCCCCTCAACTTTTCATTTATAATATCCCATCCACTCTTCATACAAATCTATGAATAGGGATTCCTATCTTCATTTTACAGATGACTTAGAGAAATTAATTCACCTGTTCAAAATCATGGCTAGAATGAAGTAGAGCAGGGTTTTAGAGCTGCCATTAAAGACCAACGCTTTCTGACACCCAGTCCAATGTTCTTTCTAGATAGATACTCTGGGTTATTCACCTTATTTTAGAAATTTGCTAGATAAAAATAGAGAACTGTCATTGCTTGCACAGAATAAAGATTAGCAGTGGTAAGAGTCCCCTCAATGAGGTATAAAGACTTGACAGAAAAATGACATACACTGACACCAACGTGCATCCACACTTCACAAACATAATGGCATGGAAAATACCCACCATCGCCTTCTGCAGCTGATCTACTGAGTGATTAGTCACATTTGTGCCATTGATTTCTAGGATCTCATCCCCGACGTGAAGGGAGCCTACCACAAAATGAAAAATCAGTCCACAAAGAATAAACATTAAAACAAGAGCTGTCAATAGAAATCAAGACACCACAGAAAAGAAAGCATGACCTAGAGCATGTTCATATTCCACGGGAGAAGGGAATGTACCAAGGCCGGCCCTTGACAGTTGTGTTGACCAAGCAGAATAAAAGCACCACATCCACAGCAAGTGTAATGCTTCTTTGTTGTTTAGATAAACCCACAAATGCCACCTAATGGTAGAGCTAATCAATGGTTAGATTCTATGTGAAGAGTAGTTACGAATGTTTGTGCCACCCTAGATAAAAAAAAAAAGTCCCAACTAAACATAAAAGGGTAGGGCTCAAAGCGTGGAATGAATCAGGTGGGCAAATACAGGTTATCGTCAGCTACTAAAAACATGTCATATTTTAATGTTCTCTCACCCCAACTCCCGCCACAAATAAGAGCTATTTAATGATGCATCTGAAAATTGACGGCACCTTCACATTAAGAAGATACCACAGTTACCTGTAATTATTTGTTTAATGTGTGTATTTTCTCAATTTAACTGTTAGCTCCAGGAAGTAGAGATGGTCTGTTTCCTTCACTGCAACATATTCAAAGTCTAATGCAGTGGGTTGCATATATCTAATTGCTCAAATATTAACTGGAAAAATTTTGGTATAAGGGGTGTGTAAGAATGCTCAGAGGGAGAGATGGTGGCACTGGGCAATTCAGACAAGAAGCCAGTTATTAAGCCACAGAAAATCTCTTGCCATACACACAAAAATGCTCCTGGGTTTAAGACTGTAAGCTTCCTGACCCTCACCACTGAATAGGAGGTAAATGATTAATCTCTGAGTGAAACACGACCTAGGAGCCCCCCAGGGTACCTTGTCTATGAATCATGCCACCATGAAGAATCCTCGCCACCGTACAGGACTGCTTTTCATTCAGCTTCAGAGTGATTCCCTGCAATGAAGACAAATGGCACAGCCATCTTTAGGGTAATTTAAGGTGATTTCTTCGGAGAAAGATTTTTTCATCTGTACCTGGGTGGTACTCAACTAGAATGGGCGTCAAAGCTGCCAGGAGGAGAGACCTGAGGGAGGGATGAGAGCCAGGGACTCAAGGGGTTGGGAGTAAGCAGGAGGTTAGAATATGATAAGGGATTACCATGGGCTCTTCTGTGACCTTCTCGAACTGTATGAGTCGCACCTTCCGTACCTCCTGCCCTTTGGCCTGGGTAGGGCTACCTGGGGCAGCAGAACCATTGGTGTACATGTCCTCAGTCACGGCATTCACCTGGTGTGACACAGCCTGTCAGGTCAAAACAACAAAGCAGAGGCCTGCCATCAGTCTGTAACCACAGTTCTAAAATCTAAAAGGCTCTGATGTGAGGCTATTTGTAAACGTTATTATCCAACTTAACAGACATGTTTATCCAGTTTGCTGCAGAAATATTAATGAGTTTGATATCCAGGGTGCCGCACCAAGGGTTTCTGGTAAGGGGCCATGTACTTGTATGGTGCACACACGCACAGGCTATAGCCAAGATCCAGGGTGGGATTCATTCAAGCATCCTGATGCTCTGCGTAATGATGATTCAGGTTAGCATTAGCCTCTCACCAATTATGTCTTTGCTACAAACAGGAAGAGAATTAGGCATTTAGGATTAGCCCCTGGCCTATGATGATAACAATAATACCACTGAACCCAAGTGGCACCCCTCCCACCATCCCAAGATGATATCTGCACTGTGACCTTTCTCCCAGACAACAGAACCTAAAGTGCAGAGACACAGCATCTACCACATCCGAGCCCTTCCCCAGAGATGCCCGGCCATGTGCCATGTGCACCAAAAGATGTGCATAGTGATGTCATTGCAGCACTATTTTGTAAAAGAAAATACTATAAAATTTATTTTTTGGAATGATTTGAACATAATCTGAAGACCTCATGCTCCTTAACCCATAAATGCTTCCGTGTGTTTTCTGAGAACAAAAACTTTCTCAAAAACGAAAATTTAGCATTCATACAATACTGTATCTGCTCCTCAGTTTCTCTTCAGATCTTATCGGGTATCCCAATAATGTCCTGTATATATACAGTCTTTCCCAGACCAGGATCCAGGATCCAGGATCATGCACTGCATTCAGTTTTCACATCTCTAGCCTCCCTTAATTTGAAAAAGCTCCTCAGCCTTTCTTTGTCTTTCATGACTTCGACATTTTTAAGAGGATAGGCCTGCTGTTTTATAGACTCTCAACTGGGGTTTGTGCAATGTTTTCTCATGATTAGGCTGAGGTTGTACATTTTTGGTAGGAATCCCATGGAAGTGGTGTTGTATCCTTCTCAGCCCAACAGTTTCCTTAAAAGCCCAAACCTGGAAGGACGTCAAAAGTCCATCAACAGTGTGATGAGTAAACTGGCACAGCCATCCACTGGATACCACACACCAAGAGAGTAACTGGGCTGCTAGACCGCAACATGGATCAGTCTCTGTTCCTGAAGGGCCCCCTCTCAGAGCTAGCGGTGAGAGCTGTCACAGTGGGGAAGGTCAAGTGGAAACCTCTGAATGTGTCCCCCACCCACCCCAGATAAAATAGTAAATCAAAAGCAATATGGCCAGCCACACCCAGGAGGGGGGATGCCCTCAAAAACAATGCGGAAGGAAGATTTTCCCACCTGGAGATGCTGTGAGTAGTGAGGAAGGGGAAGTGGGGATAGCCCCAGTTGCAAATGTGTCTACCTAGATCTAGACTGATTCATTCATTCATTCATTCATTCATTCACTTCTTCCCGGCCAGTGGCCAAGGGCCTAGAGGGGAGAGGACTGGAAGATCACAGGGTAGAGGCCTGTGGACAGACGTGCATCTCATAAGATAGGGGGTGCGCCTTATGAAATGATATAAAATGATATTTAAATTTTAATTTACTTCATCCTTTCTAAGAGGTCATTAGAAACTCTGATAAGATGGTGAGGTTTGAAGGAGTGTTAGAGGAAGTGCTGAGAAAGAGAAAGTGCCTTGTGTAGCAACTAAAGCTTAAAAAAACTCACATGACATATATGTCACATGAGTCCTAGAGAATTAGCTATGAAAATAGAATTGTATTGTATTTAGAAAATAGACTTGGGGTGCCTGGGAGTACAGAACTTCATATAACTTCAAGGCACCCTACAGGAAATGGTCTAATAATACAGTTACCATTGCATGGGTTTGGGGGTGTCCTGATGTACACACACCACGTAGCAAACCTTTTCACAGAACTATACACCCACTGGGTTTGAGTCCCTGACTCTTTTAACTACGGCTGGGTAACTCTGGGCAACTTTCTTGATCTCTCTGTGCTTTAGGTTCCTCACTGGCAAAACGAGGACAGTAAACAGATCACCCTTAGACGCTGCTGAAGAAAATCGGCAGCATTCAAAATTTCACGCATCCCGTCATATTTAATTAATTTCTATACAGGCAAATGAAAACCTATTATTCCCAAAAGTGCTACAAAGCACAATGCTTTCTATTCTGGCAAGATAAAATTTGTCCTAAGTGACTGTGATTCAGGTTCAAGTTGGCAGCCTGTGTAAATGAAAGAAACGGGGAAAGGGGGAAGGGAAAGAGAAACCCACAAAAAAAGAAAACACGAGGAAGTCTTCAGGGATGACAGATATCAATAACTTTCTAGAAGATGGAAAGGAGATAGGGAAATGGTCATAGATGGAGCAGAGTTGGGACAGCAGAGCCGGGAACCTGCTCATAGTAGAATCAGCCACGGAAGACTGTGCCGTCCAGCAGACCACAACGGGCTGGGGCTCAGGAGTCCCTGCACAGAAAACGAAAGAAATGAGGCTTAAGGTGAAAATAGCTCCCAAAACGCCACCAATCTGGCCCTCAGCTCCACTTTCAAGGCAGGAAGAAGGACCAGGCCAGTGGACATCTATTCATGTCTCCTCAGCCAGAGCTGCACAGCGTGGCTGTCCTGGGCTGCCAAAGGAGCTCAGAAAATAAGAACTGAGTTGGGCATCCTGCCATCCCAAACAAGATCAGGGAGAAGTGGAGGGCCCCTGGGTGGCTCAGTCGGTTAAACGTCTGCCCGGGGTCCTGGGATCAAGTCCCGCATCGGGCTCCTGCTGAAGCAGGCGGGAAGCCTGCTTCTCCCTCTGCCGCTCCCCCTGCTCATTCTCTCTCTCTCTGTCACGCTTTCTCTCTCAAATAAATAAAATCTTAAAAAAGATCAGGGAGAAATGGGATAAAGCTGTTGGGTCGGCAGTCAGTTATAATAATATAAAAACCATTTACTGACTTTCCCTTTTCAGAATCTACCTATAGACAAATCATGAAGCAATCATAGTTGAAGAACAGATTGTATATGTCAACACCATGACAGAAGTTGACAGGAGAAAGGAAATGAAGGGAAGGGGCCACTGATCTGGTCACCTTACAAAGTGGGGAGGCAAGACGTGAATAATGGTATAATTTAAAGCAGAAATTGTAAATGGACACAAATCTGTTTTATTTTGACCACATACTTTAATTTAGTAAAACCCAGAAGATTCCAAGCTCTCCTTAGAAATTTCAGAAGACCTGGCACTGCTCACATGGCCATGCAAGGCTGAGCCAGGCTGAGGGTGGCTGTGCCCTGCAGATGGCCACGTGCTCTCCAGCTCACTTCCTACTCCTTGGTATGGAAGCCAAGGGTCACCTGCTGATTCCCCTGTACCTGAGATGTTATTTTTCTTACACACAACTGGCTTCATGCACCTGATCCATCTGGGTTACATTAAATGTACCTCTGGATGACTTTTTAAAAAAACCATGTATGTTATATAAAGGCACACGCCCTTGAATAGCTGAAAAATTCTGAAAAGGAAGAAAGTACGAGGAATCAGTCTACACACCTGCACGACTTACATAGTTGCAAGTAATTAAGACTGTGTGGTAGAGACACACAGATTAACGGAACAGAATAGAGAACCCAGAGATAGACCCACACAGATACGCCCAGGTGATTTTGACAAAGGTGTAAAAACAATTCGATGGAGGAAGGGTAGTCGTTTCAATAAATGGTGCTACAGCAAAACAAACCTCCACTGACCTAAACCTCACACCTTTACAATGGGTCATGGACCTACAAGTAAAGTGTAAAACTCTAACACTTTTTAAGAAAACAACATAGCAGACGGTCACCAGGATTTAGGGCTAGACAATGAGTTTTTATACCTGACACCGAATGCAGGATCCCTAAGAGGAAAAATTGATAATTTGGACCTCTTAAAAATTAAAACTTCTGCTCAGTGAAGGCCTGTGTGAGGAGGATGAAAAGACAAACTACAGAATGAGAGGGAACATTTACAAACCAAACAGCTAACAAAAGACTAGAATCTAGAATATATAAAGACGGGCTCCCTGCTCCGTGGGAAGCCTGCTTCTCCCTCTCCCTCTGCTGCTCCCCCTGCTTGTGCGCACGCTCTCTCTCTCAAATAAATAAATACAATCTTAAAAAATAAGAAAAAAGAATGCTCAATGCTCAACACTAAAAACCATCTAATTCTATACCTGAAACTAATAGTACACTGTATGTTAACTGGAATTTAAATAGAAAACTTGAAGAAAAGAAAAGCTATAGAGAACGCACTGACGGTCCCCCAGGGGAGGTGGGTGGGGGATGGGTGAGCTAGGTGATGGGGATCAAGGTGATGAGCACCAGGTGATGTATGGAAGTGTTCAATCACTACACTGTACACCTGAAACTAATATTACACTGTGTTAACTAGTTGGAAATTAAATAAAACTTAAAAAAAATAAAAACCATCTAATTAAAAAATGGGCAAAAGACCGGGATCCTGGGTGGCTCAGTGGGTTGGGCATTGGGCTCTTGATTTTGGTTCAGGGCACTGGGCTCATAATTTCGGGGTCCTGGGATCAGCCCACATAGGGTTCCGAGCTGGGGGTGGAGCCTGCTTGGGATTCTCTCTTCCCCTCTGCCCAACCCAACTTGCATACGCCTGCTCACTCTCTCTCAAATGTATAAATAAATCTTTTTAAAAAGTGGGCAAAAGACCGGAACAGGTATCACTGAAGAGGGTAAGGAAGGAAGGATGGCCGTCAGGGAGAAATGCAAACTAAAACCACAATGAGATCCCACCACACGCCTATCATAATGGCGAAGATAAAAGCAATGACAACACTAAACGCAGGTGAGGATGCGAAGAAACTGAATCTCTCATCCTTCCTGGTGGGAATGTAAAATGGCATGGCCATTTGGGAAGAGAGTTAGGTACTTTCTACGATTTTATTTATTCATGAGAGACAGAGAGG